GCTTGCTTTTTGTTTCCCCCCATAAGGGCACTAAATTCAGACGGTTGTGAAATAAGGAACGGGACGTGGTTTAACACTACGAAAATAGGGACGGAGCAAGCAGCTGGCGTGACTGAAAGGGTCTTGAAGGGCTGATCGGTTTGATACGCTGTCTCCATACACAAGGGTCCAAACATCAGCTCGGATTATACCGGCGTGATTTATTGTGGCTCGCTCGGTAACAGCCATTACGGAGGAGAGTATTCTTTTTCTCCGCTGACCTCCACCCAGATTTGCTAAACATAATGTGCAGTTCCCGCTTGTTAAATTTTCTCCTTGCCTATTCAGTGCCAGCCTGAGTTATAAACAGGGGGTTCTGGTTTGTACTATTTATTTCCCCCCCTAGTTTTAGGAGTGTATTTTTAGAAAAATTGCCGCTCATTTCTTAGGAGTAAAACAAAACAAAGGCTATTATCATTGTTTAAACAATTGGTTTTCTTTGAATTATATACAAAACTTGCTTACATTCCCAAGGATCGAGCTCTCAGCAAACAAAGCAGGTCTGGAGAAATTCCTAGCCCTCTGAACAAACACTTTCCAACCTTGATTTTTTTTATTTCCCCCCCTTTTGGAAACTTCCAACATGAGCAGCACCAAACCCTTCCAAACCAGCAAGACTCCCTCACTGACAGGGTCCACCAACCCCAAACAAAACTAAAACCCATCCGCCCTGTGCCTGGTGTGCTGCTTGCAGGGGGCAGAGGGTGATTTCGCCCACACAGGGCCCAGAGGTGGCCTCGGAGGGTGGCTCTCACCCATGCCACGATGGCATTGCCCCCCAAATCCAACCACAAGCCCCGCTTTGGTTTTGCATCCTGGAGGTCCCCATGCATAGGGGCTTCAAGGGCGCTCGCCCTGCCTGGCTACACTAAATGGGGGACCCCAGGGCTGCAGCCCTCGCTCCTTCCCCACTCACCACTCTCTTCTGGGGCTTGATGAGGGGCCGGCTGAGGCCGTTCATTTTGGTGTAGAGCCCGCAGGCGTTGCACAGGTAGTTGCCGGTGCCGTCCCTCCTCCACAGCGGGGTCTGGATGGAGCCGCAGTTGACGCACTCGCGGCTCTCGGACAGGTCCTCCAGCAGCTCTGGGGACAGGAGCAGAGGGGACAAGCGGTGGGACACGGCCTGGACAGCGGCACCGGGGGGCGCAGAGCCCCGCAAAGCCCCGTGGAGGAGCGCGGCCGAGCCCCGTCGGAAAAGCAACTCCCCGCAGCGACAGCAGCCCTCGGGTGATTTAAAAAAATAATAATAAATAAAAATCCTCTTTTTTTATTTCCCTCCCCCGAGGTGCGCCCGGAGGCTGCCGCCCCCCCAGCGGCGACGGGGCCGGGAGCGCAGCGCAGCGCCCGCAGCCCTGCCCGGGGGGCTCCCTCCGACGGCTCCCGGCCCTCGAGTGGTTTGGCAAAACCGGCTGGCACCTGGGGGCCGGGGTGCCAAGGGGGAGAGGGTTTTGGAAAGAGGGGTGGGTTGCTGGATGTTTGCTCCGGGTCGAGGCCGGGCGGGAAGTTTAGCGGCAGGGGGGTCTCGTCGGGAGCGCTTTGCGAAGGGCTTAAAATTCGGGTTCAGGGGGCGGCTGGGGACCTGAGCTGCCAAGGCAGCCACGGGGAGAGAGAGCTTCACTCGGTTGGTTTGCTTAAATTCGACCCCGTTGTTAGGAAGCGGAGGAAATGGAAAAACGTGGAGTGTTCTGCCATCCTGCTCGGACAGCTACTAAACACTGAAAAAAAAAAAAAAATAGGGCTAAATGCACGGCAGAGAATAAAGAGAGCCCACAGGCAAAAGCAAACACCTTTCCCTTCTGCCAGTCCTCGTGTATTCGTTCTGTCTCACCTCTCTACGTTTCGTGGAGAAAATAATAATTAAAAAAAAAAAGAAATAGGAATTTCCCATGTAACGCGCCGCGCTGAGCAGAAATCATTTGAAGGGAGCGCTGTGATTTCTGCAGCAGCTTTGGCGCTCGGGCTGGGAAAGCCTCACGGAGCGTGGATGATCTTTAAGGTCCCCTTCCAGCCTAAACCGCTCAACGATCCTAACCCCAGCTTCGCCACCGGGTTTTGCTCCCTCCATCCCCTCCGCTACCTGCCTGAATTCAGCGTTTGCTTATTCTTTTCTCCTTCCCTTATTAGCTTTGCGGGCTGTAAAGCGAAAGGGGGCTCGTAAATGTCAAGCGGCTTTCGGGAATGGGGCTCTGGTGGCACTTTGCTCCTACAAAGAAACGGCTCCTGGCCCGTGCCCACCACCCAACATTTCTCTCGCCCCTTCATTTGCAAGTTCAACGGGAATCAGAAAGCGGCAGGGTCCAGAGAGCACAGTCCAAATTACGCTGTCAGCTTGTGGCTCTCAGCACATCACCAAGATTTATTAATCTTTGCACTAAAAGCGCCACCGACTACTGTAATCAGGAAAATGCTTAAGGTCTCAAGGACGCTGGAAGTTAAGCAGTTATTTGTCTCTGCTATTTACTTGATAGCATTACCTTCGTGCCTACTGAAAGAAACCCTGCCGTGATAATATTTCCCGGGCTTTTTTTTTTTTTCCTTTTCTTTTTTCTTTTTTTTTTTTTTTTAGTATTTTCCCCTTAACGCGTGAGAAATAGATTTATCTCGAAGGGCAGCAAAATAAAGCGCTCGTTATAGATAAATATTTAGCAACTCTTCCAGCAACGTCAAAGATGCCGTATCAGGCCGGCTAAATACCTCGCTATCAAAACGCATCTGCCGGCCGCGGCAGCGACGGGCAGCCCCCGACTGCTGGCTTCGCTGTGGGATTTCGTCCCCCAGGACCCAAAAAACCCACAGCCGAGGGGACAGGGCAGTGGCATCCGTGAGCACAGGGGCTTGTTGCTGGAAGCATAATCAGTCCTATTATTATTCTGACAAAAGCGAGGCAGTGGGCATCCCCCGGCTCCTCTCCCCCGAAAATAATAATAATATATATTTATATTTTTTTAGTTCCTCCCATCACCTAGCTTTCCACTGGAATTTGGGGAAATTGTGTTAAAAACTCGATTTTCCTGTCGGCTCTGCTCTCCCTCTGCCACCTCTGAAGCTGAGCCTTCCCCGCTCCCCCTGTCACTGCGGCGAGCACCAAGCGGGTGGCTCCAGGAGCCCCAAGCCCGTCCCGTGGCACCGGGAGGGAAAGGGCAAACGGGATCGGGGAATTTTCGGCGACATTGCACTGAAAGGGAAAAAATCACGGCGGGCGTAAAAACGCCTCCCTGGTGGGCAGCTTGGGATTAAAGCAAACGCTGCTCCAGTGCCTGCGTGTGGGTGTACGTACACATCTATACATGCCTGTGTAGGACCCCCTCACGCCTCTGTATTTACAGACGTGTTTGCTGCCGAAATATATCCTAGAGAGGCACCTGAATATATTCTAGAGAGCCACCTAAATATGTTCTAGAGCCGAAGAGGCTGCAATAATCGTTAACCTTCCCGCCCGCTGCTGCATCGCTGCGGCTCGGCTTAAAACACCGCCACCGCCAGCTGCCTTCCCTCGGAATAAAAAAGGTGACAACACCTCTGAAGCGAAAGCAAAATTCCCTCGGGACGGTGCGGCGTTTTGGGCAGCAAGATTTTAACGGGGTTTTTCGTTCCTGTCAGCGGAGCGGGGTTGGTTTGGTTTTATTTATTTTTTTTAATTATTATTATTAATTTTTTTTTTAAATCCTTTTTAAACCAAGCAATAGAATGGATGGCAGATTCAATAAATAACCGCACATGGGCTGAGAGAGCCCGGCAGCTTCCCCGAGCGCTCCGGGACCGAAAAACCCGCAGCGAATCAACCCTTCACCGGACTCCCGTATTTAGGGGCAAGCCGAAAAGCACCAAACCGGGGAAACCCTTACGGCCGGCGACTCGCTGGGGGGACACCCCCGAAAAAATAAAAGGGAGAAGAAAGCCAAAGCAACGCAGGAGCCGCCCCCGTGTCCCGCCACGGGCACGCGTGGGTCCCGTCCCGTTCCCCCGCCCGCCCCATCCCCTCGTCCGCCCCGTCCCGTGCCGTCCCCCCCTCGTCCCCCCGCTCCGACCCGGCTCCTACCTGCGCTGGGGGCCCGGACGGGGATGGGGGCGGCCCGGCCCTGCAGGCAGTGCAGCATGGAGTTCTCGAAGGGCGCCGTGGGCCAGGCGGGGGTGAGCTGCGGCCCCACGTAGGACGTGTAGGGCGCCGGGTAGGAGCCGTTGAGGGGCCGAGCCAGCGGGCTGTACTGGTCCCGGGCGCCCAGGCTGTTGCCGTAGGCTCCGGGCTCCCTGGAAGCCCCGTTGGCCACCGGCGGGCTGGGCGAGTAGGGGAAGCGGCCCGAGGGGTGCGAGCCGCCGCCGGCTCCGTACGAGGGGCTCTCGGCCGCTGGCTGCGACCAGACGGCGTGGCCGCCCCCCGGGTGGCTGGGCTGCGCCGCCCCGCTGCCCTGCAGGTAGGGCAGCGTGGGCAGCATGGAGCCCACGCGGGTCGTGGGCACGTAGACGGGCGAGCCGGGCGAGGAGTGCATGAAGCCGCCCGGGGATCCGTCGTAGGGCGCGGGGCCCTGCGCGGCCGAGATGGCCAAGGTCTGGTACATCTCCTCGGGCTGCTCGGCGCCGCCGGCGCTGGGCTTGGCGCCGCGGCTGGCCCAGATCAGCTTGGTGGCTCGCTGGAAATCCGCCAGGAGCAGGACGTCCTCCCAGCCGGGCGGGCCGGGGGGCTGCGGGACCCCCGAGGGCTGCGACGGGGCGGGCCGGGGGCCGCCGTCGGGAGGCTCGGAGGAGCTGCGCTCGCCCTGGGAGCCGCCGCTGCAGGAGGAGGAGGAGGAGGAGGAGGAGGAAGGCGAAGGAGGAGACGGGCCCGGCTCGCTGGCCGCGAAGGGGCAGGAGGAAGCGCCGGAGTCCGCAGCGCCCCGCTTCAGCACGCACCAGCCGCCTTCAGCCACGGCCATCCAGGTCCCCTTCTAGCCGCTGGGTGGGGATGGGGAAGGGAGGAGGGCAGGGGGAGGAGGGAGGGAGGGAGGGAAGGAGGGAGGGGAGGGGGGTCCGCAGGGCAGGGCGGGGAGGGAGGGCACAAAAGAGGAGGGAGAAAGGGAGGGGGGGGGAGAGAGAAATAATAACAACAAAGTTAGCGAGCGGGACAGCCGCTCTCCCGCCCGCAACCAGGCTCAGCGGGGACCCTCGGAGCGCCCCGTGGCTCACGCCGCCCCACCGCTGCCCCCCTCGTCCCCACCGGGCTCTGGGGAGGGTGTGGGGACGAGGGGGGGCAGAGGGACGTGTCCCCTGGCTTGGCCGCCGCCGCTGCCCTTGTTGTTGTTAGCGCTGCCTCAATGAATGAGTCATTTGACTCGGTTCCACCGAGAAAACAATTAGCAGGGCGATCCCTTGAAGGGGGCTTCTCCGGGGGGAGACGGGAGCTTCTCCGCCGGGAGCCCCGCTCTTTTGCTCGTCTCCAGCCCAAGGTCACGGAAAGGAGGAGGAGGAGGAGGAGGAGGAGGGAAGGCACCCGGGAGCCGGGGGATGCGCAGGGGCTGGGCCCCGACGTGTGCGCTGTGATGGGGTCGGGGCTGGGGGTGCTGTGCATGGGGCAGGAGCCGGTGGCAGCGGGACGGCCCCGACCCCCAGCAGGTCCTTTTGGGGTCGGCACCGTCCCGCCGCCAGCCGGGCACCGCTGGCATCCCGGGGCCGCCGGGGCACGGGCAGGCAGGCAGGCGGGCACCCGCTGCGTTTCGGGGGGGGAAGGAGCAGAAAGGGAAAGGGGACTCCGAGGGGTGACAGCGAGCAAAGCCTCCGGTGGGGGTCCCCTCCCTCAGCCCACCGAGATAACCGCCCCCCGACCCGCGCAGCGCGCCCGGCCCCACGCCACCCACCCCCCGGCAGCCAGGGACGCCTCTCCCTATCCCCCTGCGAGATAACGGGCAGATAGATAAGGGCCGGCCAGATAAGGGCTGCAGCCACCGGCATCGGATGTTTGCCCACCGGGCTTCCCCGGGGCTCCCCCGGGCCGGGAGCGGCTCGGCTCCCCTCGGAGGCCGGCCCCGGGGTGGGCTGTGCGGGGCGGGGGGGAGATGGGGCCGGGGAAGCTCGGGGATAAGAGAAAAAGGGCCGGGGCAAACCTGCAGCCGGTGGCCCTCATGGGGCCGGGTCCCGGGGAGGTAAATCCGGTGGCGAGGGGGGCGAGCGGCGGCGGCGAGTCCGGCGGCGGCGGCGGGCGGCTGGATGTATAAAAAGGAGAGAGGAGGAGGCGCCTCTCGCAGCCCTGCCGGAAAAGTGCAGGCAGCAGCCGCTGATTGGGCTCGGCCGGCCCTAAAACAAACACGGAGCTCCGCGGGGGTGCCAGGCCCGGCGGTGAAACCGGCCCGAGGCTCGGCCACGGAGGGGGCGGGCGCCCTGGAGGCCGCCCCGTCGAGGGGGGGGGGACGGGGACGCGGATACAGGGACACGGGGGGGGCACCGCGGGGATGGGATGGGATGGGATGGGATGGGGCAGCGGCCCCCTGCCCGGGGGTGAGCGGAGGGGGCTCGTAGAAATGATGATGATGATTTTAAAGCACAGTGAATGCCTCCCCCCCCCCCCTCTCCTCCCTCCCCCGTTTAGGGGGAATGTTCACGTTTTCTTAGGGATTTTTTTGTGCCCCGGAGGATGTGCCCTTGGCTCCCGCTGTAAGGGATCAGGTGAACGACCCCAAATCTCCCGGTTCTTATAAGCAGAGCCATCCGAGAGGAAAAAACCGTGGCTCCTCCTTGAGCTGCCCCAGCCATCAGGTGAAGCCAAAGCCGGCCGTAGGATGTGGCCAAGCCAGCAGCAGGCGGTAGGCATTTTTCCGCTGTTTCTTTCTCATTCTTCCCTTTTTCTCCCCCCCCCAAAACCTCTCCCTTTAACCCTTCCCCCCCCCCTCCTCCCCCCTCCCCAGCCCTATCCTCTTATCTCAGCTGTGTACAAACCGATACGGCACTTAGCAGGAAAGTGACTGGAAATTAAAATAACTCGGTTCGCCAGAGGTTATCAGCTGGGTATCTGTCATCATCAGTCCCTCCAGAAAGACGCATCCGCGGCCAGGGCTGCCAGCAGAGCTCAGCCCGGGCTCGCCGGGGCCGCATCCAGCCCGGGGCCCGGGCCCCGCTTCTCCTGGGGGGTCGCAAGGCAAAGGTGACCTGGGGCAGGCGACGACAGAGGCTGGGGGATGTGGCACGGGGCAGCCAGCTGCTCCGCCGGCGCCTGGGAGGGGGGGGACGTGTCGCGACAGCGAGGCTTTATCGCGCGCCGTGATTGCGGGGATGTCGCGGCAGGGGTCGGGGAGGGACGAGCGGGTGCCTGGGGAGCCGGTTCCCTGTGGGGTTAAAGGCGGGCTAATGAACTTCTGGCTAATGAACAGCGCTCCTCGGGTCGCCCTGCCTGATAAAAAAAGGCAGAGATTGGAGGGATTTTTCTTTTCTTTTTAACCTTTTTGACTTTTAGACGCTGTTTCGCGGGGGTAATTTTCAACAGAAAACGCTTCGTCGTCTCGAAATTCCCCGCCTTTTCTGCCGACACGAATTTGCCACTTTATTTAATTTTATTTTATTTTTTTACGTGTTTTCACTTAAAAAAAAATAAATTAAAAAATACGCTCCAGGAGCGGGGGAAGGATGCAAACGCCTCTTCATCCCAGCCAGGCTGCCGCCGCGCCCCGTAACGGTGCTTTATTAATTAATATTAATTGCAATTCCTTCATTTTCCCATTTAGCAAGCCCAGCCGGACTGGGACCAGCGTGGCAAACCGCCCCCACGCACCCCTTGCCCCTCCACCCTCGCTCCTTCTCCTTTCAGCTCTGCCCCCGGGTCCAGCCCTCGGCTGCTCCCTCTTGGTGACGTCACCGCCTTCCCAAATCCCCGCGTGACGTCATTTTTCAGCCCGGGGCACACGGCGGGGCGGTGGCACCAGGGCGGGATGCGCTATGGGCTGCGGGGGTTTTGGGGCCGAGGGAAGCCCCGCAAGGGGATGCTCGGAGCTTGGAGGCACCCCGGGGAGCCGAGGCAGCAAGGAACTGCCCGTCGTGGCCAAAAAGGGAAGGATGATTTAAAAAAAAAAATACTAAAAGGGTTTGCATCCAATTAAGGCAAAGCCCCTCACGGGCACTTCGGCCTCCCAAAAAAGGGGTGGGGGAGAGCCGCCTGCGGGCGCGCCCTGCCCGCTCCTTCCCCGGCCCCCAGCTCGGTGCAGGGCCGGTCCCCGCAGCGGGCAGCCCCGAGCGGGGGTCACTTTGGGGACTGTCGCGGCGTGGAGCGAGTTCTTCCCCGAGCCGTGTTTATGTAACTTCATGTACTTCAGAAACTGCCGGCGAGTTTAGGCCGGGCTGATAAGCCCAGCGGGTATTGCAGGCGACGTGCCGGCAGCTTCCCCCCGCTCTGCTCTCGCTCCCTTATCCGAGCTCCTTAAAATACCCTTTTATCAAGGCCACCCCGTGATACGGAGCGATTCCAGTCCCCGGCGGCTGTGACATTGAAGCGGGCTGAGCCACCGCCGCGGGCACCGGCCCCGGGTGGGTCACTTGATATTTTATTTTATTTTATTTTATTTTATTTATTTATTTATTTTATTTTATTTTATTTTATTTTATTTTATTTTATTTTATTTTATTTTATTCATTTCATTTCTTTTCATTTCTTTTCATTTCATTTCTTTTCATTTCTTTTATTTCACTTCTTTTCATTTCACTTCTCTTCTTTTCATTTCATCGCATCTCACTCCATTTCTTTTATTTTTTTATCTGTCCTTTCCCCAAAACCCCCGCTCCGAGGCCGGCCTGCAGCTCCAGCCTTGCCCTCCGGCTGCTCCCCGGCCCCGGGCAGCCTCCCCCGGCCTGCGGAGAGGGGGAGATCCGGGGGTCCTTTCCCCTTGCAGCCTGCCGGTGCTCCCCCCCCCCCCCACCGGGACCTGATCCGCCGTGCTTTGGGGTGATTTCCCCGGGGGCTTTCAAACCCGACACTCACACACCAGCGGATTTTTTATGGGATAGGTGGTTGAGAGCGGGTTCCTTTCTTTTTTTTTTTTTTTTTCCCTTAATAATGATCTGCAGCTTCTTTTTTTTATTTGCCCTCCCTCCAGCCCCCGAGCTCCGCCTGGTTAATGATTTCAACCTTTAAAAAAAAAAAGGAAAAAAGAAAAAGGCGGTGTTAAAAGCAGCGCAAGGCGCGGAGGAGAGGCTCCGACGGCCGCGCCAGGCAGCCCCGGTACCGGCGGGGAGGGCAGGGTTAGGGCGATCCCCCCCCCAGGTTATGGGAGGGCTCCGGGAATAGACCAGTTCCCAAAAACCCACCCTCACCCCTTCGCTGCTTCCCGTAGCGGCCGCCTAGTTGCCTCCCTCCCTATCTCCGAAGGGCTGGGACCGGGCTTCATCCATCCCTTGCCTCCCCATCCTCTAGGAGAGCTCCTCGTCCTCCCCCTCCGCTATCACGGCGGTGTCAGCCTCCACCCAGTCCCATCCTGTCTCCCCTTCGTCCCCACAGCAGAGGTTATAGAGACTTTTTTTTTTTTACTTTAAAAAACAAAAATCAGACAATTTTCAAATAAAAATTAGACATATTCCCAGGGCATTATCCCACGCCGCTAAGAAAATATCGTTTTGTGCTTCCAAACGAGCCCGCCGCGCATCGCTGCGCTCCTTTTTTTATTTTTATTTTTATTTTTATTTTTGGTCTTTGCTAAGAAACGCCACAAAGCAGCAGGATCGGGCAAAAGCTCCCAGTGCGATGTTTGCCGTGGGACCAAATCCATCCGTCCATCTGTCTGTCCATCCATACATCCATCCACCTGGCGACACTGGCTCCGTTTTGCGGGGTTTTGCTCTGAAAAAACGGAGCAAACAGCACTGGGAAACAGCGTTGGGAAACAATTTTGATGACGATTTAGCCGTTTTACCGAAGCGTCTGAGACCAAGGCTAATTTAAAAGAAAAAGGTAAAAAAAGAAAAATATAAAAAGGAAAAAAAATATGAAAAAGATGTAAAGGAAAAAGGTAAAAAAAAAAAATAAAAAGGAAGAAAAATGAAACAGATGTAAAAGAAAAGGGTAAAAAAGAAAAAGAAAAAGAGGAAAAAAATGAAAAAGATGAAAAAGACGTAAAAGGAAAAGAACCGGCCACAAACCAGATAACAACAAACCAACGAAAATTGCGATCTGACTTGAGCAAAACTCTTCCTTACTCCAAAACTACAATTCTCAGATTGTTCTTCCGCGGATAATGTCAAAATTTTGGGGTTTGCTCCTGCTCGGGCTGACGGTTCATTAGAAAACGTTAGAATATCTCCCAGAGCGGGTCCGACCAGTTCTGGAAATTAAAATCCTGCAGGAAAAAAAAAAACAACAACAGCACCAACAAGCCCGACGCCAACAAATTCAAGGCACCACATCAGAGGGCGGCAGGCTGCAGTTAGCGGCTCGGGGTAATTAGGCAGCCCATTAACAAATAGCCTCGCTCCTCGTCGCCCTAAAAGGGAGGCCGGTGCCTCCTGCCCCGGGAGGCAGGCGCCCTGCAGGCAGGGTGGGGATGCTAAATATAAATAAATACATGAATGTGCCGCGATTTCCACTCCGTGCACGTAACGCCCGAGGTGTTCATCCCCTTTCCCTTAAGCCTCCAGGAGCGAAGAGGCTGTGCAAATAATTCACTCTTTTCGATTCTTTTAGGAAAATGCTGCTTTGTACCGCCGTTATTGCCGGCCGCATTGCATTTGCAACTAATTGTTAATGGACACCCGTATTTTCAAATAATGAAAAGCGCAATTAGACAGCCGGTTGTCCCCAAAGATTGTTGTAACGGGTGGCTGCAATGCATCTTCCCGCTGCTGTTACTGGTGTCTTCTAAAAGGTCCCAGCCGAATGAATTTCAAGGCACCAAACCACTCTATTTTACATCCCGATCAGATGGCTACGAGTAAGAAGTGCTGCGGTCCGTTACACATAAGGGTGGTTTTTACTCTCTGTAATCATTTCTTACATTTATTGTCACTGCTGGACATAATACATGTGTAAGGAATTAAAGCTTTAACACAGAATTGGCAAAGTATGTGGGAGTAATCCAAATGTGCTTTTTTCTTTCTTATTTTTTTTTTCTCTTCAGTATTCATAATATGGACAGAGTTAGCAAGCCTTTTCTTGAGTACCCACTCCTACGAGTAAATCAATGTGATGGCAAGGCTGTACAGTGACCAGCATTTCCGAGAAAAAAAAAAAATAAAATAAAATAAAAGGACCTAGACGTTTTCAATAAACTCTGAACATAATACCAAGCAACTGTATAACAAGATACCCTCGGGGATTTAAGGCTAACATCCGTTTGCAACCAGGATCACATCTGGATCACGCTCTTAGCGTTTAGTGATGACAATCAAATATAAGTTCAGACACACACAACTGTAATATCTAGCTGTGGAATAAGGAGAAGAAAATGTTTTAGGATAGATTTACACATACTGCATGCCTTGCTTCAGCTTTGCAGCAGTGCATTTTCATTGTTAGGACATTCTGTAGGTTAGTTTTTCTGACAGTGAAATCAAACACGGATTTGAGTGCATGTGAATCAGTGTTTGCAAAGAAGCCCTGCTTCTGTGATTTTGCTAATTTGTCCAGATCCTTAATATGATTTTAGGCTACTCATTCAGATGGAATTTGTCCTCATTCATGATGACTGGAGAATAAGAACGAGTCCCGAGAATGAGAGCTCTGTGGAAATACCTGGCGAAGCAATGAACCTCACAGATTGCTCTGTTGGGATGTTAGCAGTGTGAAGTGCCACGCGGCCCGTCAGGGCACGACTGCAGCTTAACCCAGCTGGCTTTAAGCAGATCCTGTCCCAAAGCCCAGATCCATATGTGGACGCCTAATGCAGATCTTTCTGCTGCCACAGCTGGGAAGGCATTGATCCCAAACAAACAGGCAGCTCTAATTCAGCAACTCCCGTAGATCCTATAACGAGCTTAGCAGCTCTAAGGGCAGGGTAGATGTTCCTTGTTTTTTGTTGAGCTCTGACAGGTTAACAGCACCCCTTTAGGGACGGCAGAGAGGGTACCTCCCAGCCCCATGGCTAGCACAGCCCTATAAACTTGCATTGTTCTTGCTGCTGGGCAGCAAGGTGAAAAGAGCATTTGCAGCAATAGCATCTAGTGGTATCACAGCTAAACCCAACAGAGCCCCAGGTGTGCTTGCAGATGAAAGCTCAGCAGTGCTCAGCTGGCTCGTTGGCTTCTCCCTAGCAGAGGACTTGAGGTTGCAGCTGCTATTGGGTCTCCACTCACACCATGTCCTCAGGCTGAGCATGTGGGCTGAACTCCAAGTCCTTCATCCTTCCCGTGCCACATCCAGGCAGCTCCCATGGTCTGGAGTTTTCTTCTGTGACGTGAAGTACATGCAGCACGCGGCAGGAGGCTGAAGACAGGCACAAGGAAGTGAGGTGGCAGCAAATGTTCATGCTGATACTCAATTCTTACATCTTAGGTAAGGCAGAGCACATAGTGTGATATTGGGGCACAGATTTTTGATGGCTTGCACAGCAGGAAGGGGGAAGCTGAGGGAAGCTGTCAGCATTCCCCCAAACACCCCTACCATGACAGCCAGGAGGTACCAACCGGCCCGTAATGACCACAGCTGTAGGTAACGTTACATAAACCAAAGCGTTTCAGCTTCTAAGCAAAGCCACAGCTCTTCCCCTCGTATCAGTTAAAATATTTCCTTTTACCCCAAACAAAGTTTTTCTCTCTGTTTCTGAATTATTTAACCTGGTAAAGGACCAACTGTGAAACAAATGGGTTCATTTTGAGAGGATGGAGCAAGTGCTTCAAATTTTCCTCTCCCTTTCAGTTTGGCTGAGGGGGGTCACACCTGGGGTGGCAGAAAAGGTCTGTCACATCTGGCCTCTCACAGCCTGTATCAGAAGCCAAGATCTCAGCAACTGACCAGAAACCACAGCAAATCCTCTCATTTTCTGCCCAGTGACCAGGGCGTGGAGAAAGCAACAGCCCCTGAACTGCCTTAAACTACCCCATCTGTGCTTCGGGTTTAAAGCTAAAAACTCATTTCCTGGAAGAAGTAGGGACCAACATGAATACCCTCCAAGATGTTTCACTCAGCAAAATTGAGGGGGATGTAATTCAGCCTAAACCCAGACTTTTAGCTGTACTCTTCCTCTAGTTCTTACTCCCTGCAAGAATAATTATTACTGACCTCAGAAACCCTGCCTGTTGCCCGTGCTAAGTTTTCATATCGGCTCAGTTTTGCTTCTGATAGCTTCAACAGAGTTGCTGAATGACATTTCCTTTAGCGGGACTTTTCCAAACAAATTAACTTCATTTCTGCTTGCAAGAAATAGAAAAACATATTTTGCTTGTGCCTGCTTGGAACTACGTGTGCCTGTGAGGTCCAAAGGGTGACACATCTTCCACGAGTGTTTCCTCTCATAAGCGTAGAGAGCAGAAACTAATGGCTGTGAGCTGTAACTACTAGAAAGCCGAAAATACTCTCTACAAAATAATATATGATACCCAAAGCTACTCTCTTGAACCTGGGGAACACAGAGCTGGCTAGGGTGAAGCTGCAGGGAGAAGCAGAAAGCAAAACAATCAAAGCTGAGCTGGAAAAGGAGGCCCGCTGAAGGTATCAGGGTGACTCCCTTGGACGAAATGAGGCCCGGCCCTCGGAGAGCTGAGCCGAGCGCTAACTGAGAGCAGCTAGGCTGAACCCTTCACGTTGGCTGGGCATTTTGGATAGAGACAGTGTTATCACAGCGAAAGCAGAGTATGTTCCCTGCTTTGTTATGGTTAAGGGAGAGAAATGCCACGCGGGTGGGGAGGGAGGTTAAAAGGCACCATCTCACTCCGGGCTCTGTTGCTGACTGGAGCTTGGGGAAAACACCCCAGGGGCGTTCAGGGGCTGGCTTATGGGCTACTTCGAACCCACCCAGCTCTTCCTATAAAAGCAGAATCCAGCAAATCTAGAATTACACCTCACTAAAAAGGCTAGCAATACATAACTGTTATACTATTCAGCCTTACAGTGGTTCCCAGTGTCTGTCAAAACTGCACCGCTTAATGGACTGAATTATTTTATCGGCCCTCTATTTGGAAAGCAGAATCCTGCTGTGTAAAGCTCCAGAAGTAAATAAAGCCTAATGGTTAAGGACCAAGCTCCAGTGGGAGTTTTGCTGGAGAAAGGCCTGCACAAGTTGACCTAGTTAATTAATATGTACTAAAATGCAGTTTCCTTTACAGCGCTACACCCTAGCGTCAAGCTTAGAATCACCAAATTTGTTAAAAGTTGAGCAAAGTGGCTCATCTGTGGTCACCTCTTGGTAAAAAAATAAAAAGTAAAAAAAAAAAAAAAAAAAGCAAAATGATACTTTTAGGGAAATGTGTTTATAATTAAAATAAATGTAGTGGTCTAAATGAGCAGTACTGACAGTATTAAAAAGGATAATGACTTAATTATTTTTGTTGATGTCAGTTATTCATTTTTTGGGCCATCAGGCTATAAAACAGGGTAATTTATTGACTGCAATATAAACTGGAAATGTGCCATATTATTCAAGAAAAACAATACTACTGCAAAAACAATACAGAGAAGAGGTAATTTGTACAGAGTTCATGAGACAATTATATCATCTAATTACGAAACTGACTCACTATGCCCTTGGCTCTATTTAGTAGAAGAGAATTGAAGGACGTACTAAACATACTGAGAGCCTAGTAATTTAAATTTAAATCCTGACTGTACACCCAAGCATCCAGGAACTGGTGTGATCCAGCACATAGATCAGGAGACCTGAGGGAGTATTCCTTGATTTGTGTGACTCAGGGTACTACTTAATTTTTCAGTGCACTGGAAATTAAACTGCTGGCCCATTTTGCTGAAAAGTGCTTTGAAACTCAGTCAATATCACAGGGGGTCTTTTAGGAAACTTCCACCAACATTTCAACACCAAAAATATTTAAGTAATTAATTACTGATTTCAGAACTTGACAGCAGTTTGAAAACTGTCTGGATTTTACATGCTCCACTGGTGTTTCTGCTGGTGCAATCCAGCAGTAACATTTGTATGCAAGCAGATGTATTTCTTGTTCAAACAGAAGCAAATCGCTAAGGTGTCTGAACTGTAGCATATAACCAAGGCTATGCACATATAACTCACTCTCACACAGCAAAGCTCATCAAAGCTCAGAAATGACCGAGACCAAAACAAAAGCAAGTTGCTGAATTACTCCTCAAATTGCCAAGTCATATCTGCACTGCAACCTTTTGAACTCTTTTCAGATATTTTTCCTTGAACTTTTTATGCTATTTAAGGAATGTACAAATATTTTCTTTGTTGATCATGTAAAAAAAATTCATTGAATAAAGTTTTTTTTCCCCATCTTTTCTGATGTTTTTTTATTCTGTTTACTGAGCATTTTGTATTTAAATAGATTTTAGTGGGTGACATCTAGCTATACTATCAAATTTTGCAGGAGGCTAATGATTATAATGAATATTCATTTATAAAACAGGGGAAACCTCAGTGTCTATTTGTTTCTATTAATAATAATGCTGGCTTGCACTCAATACATTCTAAAATTAAGGCCACGAGGGTCTAGGAGCTGGAATAGCAAATGGAGAGCCTGGGAGCCTTGGGTCTGACTTTGACCCAGGTATGGAAGGCGTAATTCTGTGTGTTGGAGGGTGTTCTTCTACAGTGCACTGGCTTTGGTGCAATGCTGGATTAAGCAATGCCCTGCCACTGCCTGGAGGGACTCCTCTGCCTGGAGCCCAGCAGTCCATGGCCTTCTCCACTTGTGTTAATGGAATTCCGTGTGGGACCAGGCTGGAAGAAAGACCTCTGAAGTGGTTACAATTAAAAACATCTCCCTCTCTCCTCCTCCTGCAAAAGGTTTATTTTAAACCTCCATCACTTCAGTGCTCTGATTTAAGCACTGTCCTGGCAAGGAGTTGTTTTGGCACAACTGAGGAGGTGACAACGGCAGGCCAGAGGTGGGAACAAGCATCTGGGACAGGGGCTGGTTGCAGCAGTTCAGTTGCCAAAGGCAAGCGGATCATGGGACTAAGGTGTGATAGTTCATTGTATGAACTTAAACATTGCCTTTCCTAACTGTTTTCATAGCCACAAAGCATCTCTGCTGCAAATCCCTTGTACTGAACTGCTGCAGCAGTGCTGCTTTTCTATCCCAATGCAGTTCATTTACACTAGAGATTTGCAGTCATGTGAGTTTTATCGTGGGAAAATGCAGCATAGGCAAAGCCTCAGCCAAATCATGAGGCCTATATCCTTAAAGACATTTATTTAGATAGCTAACATTCAGTCAGTGGAAGGCCTAAATGGATGGGTTTAAAAAGAGTCATGAAGCTGGAGACATTGTCTTGTCCATAGGGTTACAGCCACCTACACTTCCCAGCTGTGATTCCTTGTGGGTCTCTGATCACAGTCTTATTTATTTTGCTTACATGCTAAGGATGAAGTTGCCTAAGTGATTCAGAACTGAGTAAGAACATCTCCCAAGTCATTCTGGCCAGGATCTGGGGTTCTTCCATCTTTTCTCTCAAAGTAAAGGCCATGAGTCACTTGCTGAAATCTCCCAGGCCTTCTTTCTTATCTCTCCAGCTTCCTGCCACTCCGTGGACCTCAGGTGATGGTGGCCCTTTGATTTCTTCAGTCCTCTGCCTGTGATGTCTGTCTCTTGGGGACTCAAAAGCTATAACCTCATTCAAATTTTTGCATACGGTTTTGTGAGCGCTTGGGCAAACTTGCATAGCCTTTAACACACAGGAAGTCAGATAATATCTAATCTCCTGCGCATTAGGGTAAAAGTGTGTTCCTAGCCCCTTCCAATGCATTCTAGAGAAGACAGCATAGTATAACCCATTCTGCAGTTCCCTAGGTAAAAAGCAATCATCCAACTTGTTCACGTGTGACTGCATCGGAGCGTGACCTCATCCAGAAACCGCCTAAGTCAATGGAAGAAGATGCAATTCACAAGGGTTGAAACTTTCCTTCGGTGTCTCAGTTAGCTGGCCTTCACATCACAATCTGCTTTCTGAGCCCCCACCATGTTAATCACCTGTTATTTTTCCTTCCAGTCTCAACGTAAACCAGGGACTCTGAAGATTTTGTTACTTGTGACCTGTGTTTTCACCAAATTTAAGCAGTATCATTTTTTTCAATAAGACCTTGTTTGCCTGCACAAGCATGTTCATTCTCTCATGGTCCACATACACTTTTCCAGTCCTCCCTGAGATTAGTATGCATTACTATAATGCAAACAAATTAAAAATAAAATAATGTCATGGTGACTACAATGGAGCTCTTCCATGGCACTCTACTGCACTCTACAAATCATAGAACCATAGAATATCCCAAATTGAAAGGGACCCGCAAGGATCATTGAGTCCAACTCTTGGCTCCACACAGGTCTACCCAAAAAACAAATGAATAAGAACATCTAAATGATGGGCGTACAATTGCTGCCTGCACAGAAATCATACTCAAGAAGAGGACTGATCTCACACAGTCATAGTGGATGGTTACAAGCAGCTGGATGAGCAATACTGAGTCAGAGATCCCCCTCCTGTGCTCCCTTTCCTGGCTGTAGCTTATGTAAAAGAGTAGAAAGAAGGAAAACCCACGGAATAATGAAGATGAATGCAATAAATATACCCAAGCCTGTCTACTTGTTTTAGTGGTTAATGCCACTACAGAAACCCTGCAGGGCTTTAAGCAATTCTTAGTGATGAAGATTTATGAAGCCCTTTTAAAAACTTCATTAAAGGGTCAGAGAGATTTAAGTGGCCTTGCAAGCTCTGCACTGAGCCAAGAGATTCACTTAGCAGAAACTCAGCCAAAACAGTTCGGGGGGAGATTTCTTGCAAGGACTGCCTCAGGAGCTCTGGGCTAAGGGGGATGATGCTGGTGCCCATGGGGTTAGGTGGCACAGTGTGCTGCCCAGGTCCCACACAGGGCTGTAGCACTTAAGATAGCCAAAGGATAGCAAAAAGGAATCATTATGAACAGGATTAAGACTGGTGTAACATGGTAAACCAGCCAGCTCTGCACAAACTGCATCACTCACTGCTCACACATCTCTTCCAGTTCCCTCAGTTTGTCTAAAGTACATTAAAGAACTTCTGTAGTTTGCATGCATTCCTCCTTCTGACGACAAGGTCTGCCTGCATCCCTCCAAATCATAGCACGGAGCCATCCATAATGATGCTCTACAAACTGTTGTTTAGGGCTGTGGCTATTTAGATATAAATAGCAGCGCTCGTTAATCTGGCAATCACTCCCAGCTATGAAAATGCAAATCAGGTTGGCTTGTTTGTGTTTCTGAGAGAGAGAAGGTGGTGGTGGTAGGTGGGAAGGGGAATGTTCCTAAGGGTGCTGCTGTTTTCACCACGAGCCAGGGAATGTTTCATCTGCACCCTGCAGCACCTCACCCAGCTCCATTCCACCACTGCTGGCACCACACTAGTCTTGTAAGGGTGGTTTATAGGCTTTACGAATTGGGTCAACCCCCTAAAAAACAGCTCCTGATTTTTTTTTTTTTTTGTAGGTGTGCAGCAGAAGAAGCTCTGGTTGCTGACAAAACTGACATACCATTCTGTCCCAGACAACAGTCAGCAGCACTCAGAGAAGCCTACAAAAATAAATACATAAATAAATAATAGCCATATAAAGTGGCCCCTCCTTTTTCTTTTTTTTTCTTTTTTTTTTTTTTTCTCCTCCCATCCCCAACATCTTAAATATCTTCAAATCTAAATACCTTCACCAGGATTTGAAGGGGATTCCTGAGTTTTAGCAGTGCATTACGGGAAGGAGAATCTCATAAAGGGGTCAGTTTTCATAGTTTGGGGAGAGTTTGTTCATACTAGCTGTCATTGAGGAATGCACTTTTTACACTTGTGAAGCTTAAAGCATCAGATTTACACAAATTGAAAGGGATGGAGGGAACTGAGCTCTTTGGAACAGCTGCTCCACCATCAGCTTTCTAACCAGGGGTGTTCTCCAGGAAGGGTTAAATTGATGGTTGATGCAACGGGCAGTGCCCAGCCACCTCTCTGGGCGCTAGCACTATCTGGCACAATTTTAGCATCTGCTAAGAGCACAGCATTGGCTGTAGAGTCTCCAGCCTCCAAAGCAAGCCCTGGCAATACTTCCCAAACCACTGTTCAATACACGTTTTGTTATTAATATATGGTATACGGAAGTATAGCCACCGTTACCTACATCCTGCAGCATTTCTTAGAGGAGCAAAGGGCCTTACCTCGCTCTCTTCGTCTGAATACAATTATTTTTGGTGCACGTCTGATTGCTGCATTCCTGAAGCCAGCAACAAAGAAAGGAGGTGTCCTCACATATGCAGGAGCCCAGGGAGATTTGCTGGGGAGCTGATTGCTGCTCACAGGAAGGAGAAGCCTCCCTCATGACACTGAGTCATGAGATCTCAGCGCTGACAAGAGCTACTAGAGAAGAGCCAATTGCATCATATTGCGAAGAAGAGCAATTAAGTGCCTTCATTGATACCAGCTTGGCGTGAGCTGCATGCTGCAAATAGCGGCTTCATTCACGCCATCCCAGTGACACGCTGGAGATAGGAAGACCCAAGATAATGATGTTTTGTGATGGCATTGTGGGGACAAGGGGACCAGGAATTGTTCCGGAGCGGGAAGCTCCTTTCTCTCACCGAAGGCATTGTTTTGATCTAAAAACCTGCTGACTGTGCAATGTTGCTACATTTTTAAGATACCTTTTTAATTACTCCCTGGGTTGTAGGGCATAGGGAGATTTTGGCAGTAGACAAGGACTCTTCCGAGGCATATGCTAGGAGGGCAGAAGGAATCTGCTCCAGGCAGACACGGGGTTAGCTTACTTTATTTTGATGCCTCCACACCAGGAGCAATGCTCTCACATGCCCCATAAGGGACACAGGGTAAAAAGAAAAGCAATGGGTGACACAGGAACCCAGTGTCCTCACAGCCCCGAGGTGCAGCACCTCGTGTCCCTGATGCTCCTGCCTGGCTGCTGCTGCTGGGGGATGTAGCAAGGGCTCATCCAGGAGAGCGGAGATGTTCTGGGGGCTGCTGTCTATAAGGCTGTGCTGCTCCAGTAGGCAAAGCGTAGGCAGGGCGTAAAAGCACTTGGAGGATTAGTAACAGCTCCAGCAGTTCACAGGGAATTGTACCCTGGTCCTTCATCTGGAGCTATATTCATAGGCTGCTAACGTAGGAAACTTCTGAGGTGACAGGAATCCATGAATCAGTGGCCCATTTGCCATTGTTTTCTTTTTTCTTCCTTTTTTTTTTTTTTTTTTTTTTTTTTCTTTTTCCATTTTCCACCTACAGAACAATACAGGTTGTCATAACATTATTTAGAGGCTTGTGTCGATCCCCAATTAGCACTCCTAAGGCTTCTGCTTGCTTCGGGTTTCTGACTGAAACAAAAGATAAAACAAAGCAGAACACAGCCCCACTTTTCCTTAAGCCAGCGGGAACTCTGCCAGCATTTAATTTTTTAAATCTGGTTTCCTCAGCTAATTTAGTCACGTAAAATTAGCAACCTCAAAAAGGAAAGTGTAAGTGTGTGTTAAGCCTGTAATACCCCAAAGTGGGTAATGTTTCCCATCAGTCCCCTCGAGCAAAGCCTGTACATCTATGAAGCGCCAGATTTTCTTTTATTTTTTCTTTTATTTTTTCTTTTTATTTTTTTCTTTCTTTGTGGCAAGGCTTTAGCAACAAGCAAGAAGCAAAGTTTGTTGCAAGCCTTCTCTCAAGCTTTGGTTGCTCTCAGGGCTCTTACCTAGGGGCTGTCGCCACATGCCCTTTCTACGGAGGGGAAGGAGAACATTTCCTCTTTCCTTTCCCCTCCATGTGGTAAAAAGCCACAGGCTTTTTCAGGCTTTTTCAGGGCTGTGCCACGCTGACCTACTGCCACCAGATTTGTCTGGGAGCTGTTCCTACTGGAAAGCCACCACGAAGTGCCACCACCACCAGGCTCCCTTGGGGGCTCAGATCCCTCCTGCTGCACCATCTGCAGTGCAATTCAGCATTTGCGGACTGCCCATCCAACACCAGAAAAAGGAAGAAAAAGGGTTTTAGGTAGTGGGTTTCGGAGGTGTAAAGCTGCTGCACAGAGAAAAGGAATATAGGAATATTTTTTTCTCTGTTTCTGTGTCAGATGGAAGTGATGGGTCACCCATCAATAAGGGTACAGGCAATGTTAAGGGAAAGCCAGAGACTGCAGAATCCCCATCACACATCCTTTTTAGAGCAGGTTAAGCAAAAACCTTAGGGAAAGACCAGACATGAGGAAAAAAGGGGCTAGGTAGCCCTCTGAAATCGCTCCCAAGAGAGTACCTCTGTGGTTCTGCAGATGAGTGATTACCCACGTCTGCTGGTGGACAGTGGAGTCTCCGGGGGGAAATGTTACATTCCTCAAATAAATGATTCATTGAAAATCACTGCCTGGCTCCAGAAACAATTCACTATCAATGTTTTGCCTCAAATCTTAGTCATGAAACCAAGAGGAGTTAAAAAAGGAACGACTGTGGCTCAACAATGAAACCCCTTCAGCAATTAAACCCCACCAATAAATAGCGGCGAGTGCTGGATTGATGCTTTATTTCTAGAAATGATGCTAGCTGTGGAAAATATAAACTGTGTCTTCCCTGCAGACACAGCCAAAACTAATCAAAATACTCCTAGCTACACAAAGGAAATACCTCTGGGCTGTGATAAGGAATATGAATGCAGTTCTTTTACGTCTCCACTAGCTCATAACAATATGATGGACTGGTGGCACCGTTTTCAGCACCGAGATTAATAGCCAGGGAGAAGCTGAGAAGGAGAAAGTGCACTTTCAGTTTTCTTTCCGATGGCTAATTAAAAAGCCCATATCTGAGAGGAAACGTTGTGGAAATGAGAGCTATTTGGATGTGCCTTCCCCCATATACTATCACTCTGCTTCGTGAGGAATGCTTTATTAATGCTAATCTCATCCCTGTGCTTTGACAGAGGTTACAGTTTCCTTCCTTTGCAGCCGCTAAGGCTGAATGCTATTATGGGGTTTGTTTTATGGGAGCATTATTATTTTACTAAATTACCTCATCTTCTGGGAACAAACTTAACCTTGAACTACGAAGCTAAATGGCTTTTTAATGATGCAAGTCTGTTTGGAAATTGTGCTTTGATGACTCTAAATTTTCTTCCTTCTGCATGTTTAACATGTGCAACATAGACAAAAAGTGAATCATTTACGCAATCTTTCCTGATTCCCTGTTTTAAAATCAGATTGCTACAATTATTAGGGTTAAGATGAGTGGGAACAAACTTTCTCCGCAGGATTCAGGCACCACTGAGAAACTCCTCACAGCATGAAAAAAAAAAAAAAAAAAAAAAAACATCTTTAGTAGCATGGGAAAGCAACACCAACACTGGCATTGAAATGCTTGATATTTAAATGTTTTAATTCTAAGATGACTTAAAAGTCACATTTCTGGATGGAGCCTTCTTGTACTGCTGTGGCAGTCAACGAGAAGCTGTGAGAAACAATGAGAAACTACCACTGACCCTAACGAGATTGCCATCAGATCTGCAGTTCAGAGTCAGGACAAATAAAGGTGATTTTATAGGGTACTGTGTAGCATGGTGGACATCTCTGATCCCAGAAAAACTAGGCTTTTGCCTGCAGGGTGGTTGAGCAGAGAGGCTGAAGCACAGTATAGGGGTATTTTGCTGAGATCTGATGTGCACTAGAGGAATTATTGTCTTGGTTCCTGTTTGATTCACTCCCAAATGCCTGTAAGTCACTGCGAACCCACACAAAAGACTTCTTGACTCTAGAAAAATGTGTGTCTGTGTTTTGGGCGTGTGCAGTTTGGGTACTTCTGAGACGGTGTTGCCACGAGGTCACCTTTGGGCTAAGCTGGGGGCAGTATTTTTTGTTTGTGTCAGACTTGAGTGGGAAGAAATACATGAAAACCAAACAGAAACATGCTGTTTGCTCATGGGGTAGCTACACCGTGGTGACCTATCTGTTAAGGAATATTGTCAAAGCTGGAGAGCTTCATTCCACCTCTTCCTGCAGAAGAGCCCTCCATCTTCCTGCAGCAGGAGCTGAGGGCTAGGGGCTGACTCCCTCCTCTTCCCCATCAAATCACCGGACCCACACAGACAGGCACAGTCTGTCCTGGCCTTCCTGGAGGCACCGAGCAGCTCCCTACCTGCTGCTTGTGTGCACACACGTGCCCCTTGCCTGTTGCCTTGGGAAAATGGTGCAGCCTGCCATGCTTGGGGGTTAGGGAACGAGCATTGATAGGGTTTGGCCCTTTGAGGGGTCTTCCCAACCACTATGTTCCCAAGGGAAAAGGTCTTTCCTCTGGCCCCAGATGGATGTGTGGCTTGGCACGATGAGGAAAGAGGTCCGCTGAAAGAAGAGGTGATTGTTTGCAATACCAGCATAGCTCAGCCAGGCTGCTAAGGGGTTCCCAGAAGAAAACGCTACCAGGGCCAGGGAACAGCCTGGATAAATTGTTCTGAAGGCTACAGGCAGACCTTGTCCATGTTTAGCTTATGGTTTTACCTCACACTTCTGAGGAATTAAAAGCAGGGTTGTCATGAGCAAGTCACTTTTAGCACAATGTTCATCCTGCCTTTCTTACAGCAAGGAACAGCCCTGGCAGATCATATAGAAACAGCCTCAGAACTGGCACTAATTATTTCATCTGTGGCTAGACACCCAAAATCAGCAGAAAGTTGTTCGTAAGAGAAGCCAACAGTCCTGATATCTTGTTTCCTGGTCCTCAGAACTGACAAAGCTGCTGCCTGAGCTTTGCATTAAGACGAGCCCTTTTCTCTGGGTGCTCTCACCAGATGTCCCACTCTTCTAACACCATGCATCCAAACCACTCCAGAAAAGCCTTTCATCCTTTTCTGGGTGCCGTCTCTATAAGATCTCAACCTCTTGCTGTGGCTTTTTATACAGAGACTCTGCACTTGTCTCAAGGAATGGCAGAGAGCTCACCTGAAGAGACCACGAACAGCCAAGTGCCCCTCACCTGCACACTTGTTTGTCCCTTCAGCACCCCCGTTCCTGCAGCAGTCCTGGGCTCCCATGGTGTTATGAGGCTCTGTGAGAACTCTTGCCCTACAAAGAAGGATGGCCAACTTTCTCCCAGGCAAACTTACATGCCTACATGCCAAAATCTTTTCCAGACAGGAGCTGTGGGACAACACAACACCGCAGGCACCAGAAAGCTGAGGGAGGAGTCCTGGCAGAAGTTCGTTAACTGGGGATAGCAGCGATTCCCCACTTTTCTCCTACATGGTGGGGACAACTGGGACGTGGACTGAGTTTCAAGGCAATTTGGTGATGTTAGTCCCCATATACTCTGCCAGATTGCTTCCCCCACCACCCAGGACTGCCCAGGAGGCCCTGTTCCAGAACAGCTCCCATGTCTC